GGTGGATTTTGGGGTGCTCAGGGCAGCATTTGGGGTGCAGAAAGGGGATTTTGGGGTGCTCAGGGCGGAATTTGGGGTCCCCAGGAGGATTTTGGGGTCCCCAGGGTGGATTTTGGGGTGCTCAGGGGGATTTTGGGGTGCCCAGGGTGGATTTTGGGGTCCCCAGGGTGGATTTTGGGGTGCTCAGGGAGGAATTTGGGGTCCCCAGGACAGATTTTGGGGTCCCCAGGGAGGAATTTGGGGTGCCCAAAGGTACCTGATCATGGCCTGGGACATCATCTCCAGCGCCGCCGCCCCCGAGGTGTCCTTGGGCGCCGGGTCCGAGTCGAAAATCACTTGGGCACAGGGGTTGATCCACATCTGGAAACGGGGGAAAAACGGGGGAAAACGGGAAAAACGGGGGAAAACGGGGGAAACGGGGAGAAAAACGGGGAAAGAAATGGGGAAAAACGGGGAAAAATGGGGGAAAACGGGTGAAAAACGGGGGAAAACGGGAAAAACGGGGAGAGAAATGGGGAAAACGGGGAAAACGGGGAAAACGGGGGAAAACGGGAAAAATGGGGGAAAACGGGAAAAACGGGGAGAAAAACGGGAAAAACGGGGGAAAATGGGGGAAAATGGGGAAAAATGGGGGAAAACGGGTGAAAAACGGGGGAAAACGGGAAAAACGGGGAAAACGGGAAAAACGGGGAGAAAAATGGGGGGAAATGGGGAAAAATGGGGAAAATCAGAGAAAAATGGGAAAAAATGAAGGGAAAAATGGGGGAAAAAAAGGAAAAACGGGGAGAAAAATGGGGAAAAATGGGGGAAAACGGGGAAAACGGGGGAAAATGGGGAAAATGAGGGGAAAAATGGGGGAAAATGGGGAAAATGGGGAAAAATCAGAAAAATGGGGGAAAATCAGAGAAAAATGGGGAAAACGGGAAAAACGGGGAAAATGGGGAGAAAAATGGGGGAAAATGGGGAAAAATCAGAAAAATGGCGGAAAATCAGAGAAAAATGGGAAAAAATGAAGGGAAATATGGGAAAAAGGGGAGAAATGGGAAAAATGGGGAAAATGGAGAAAAATGGGGGAAAATGGGGGAAAATGGGGAAAAATGGGGAAAAATGGGGAAAAATGGGGAGAAAAATGGGGGAAAATGGGGAAAAATGGGAAAAACGGGGGAAAATGGGGGAAAAATGGGAAAATGAGGGGAAAAATGGGGGAAAATGGGGAAAATGGGGGAAAACGGGAAAAACGGGGAAAATCAGAGAAAAATGGGGAAAAATGGGGAAAAATGAGGGAAAATGGGGAAAAATGGGGGAAAATGGGGAGAAATGGGGAAAAAATCAGAGAAAAATGGGGAAAAATGGGGGAAAACGGGAAAAACGGGAAAAATGGGGAAAAATGGGAAAAATGGGGAAAAATGGGGAAAAATGGGGAAAAATGGGAAAAAATGAAGGGAAAAACGGGGGAAAACGGGGGAAAACTGGGGAAAACAGGGAAAATGGGGAGAAAAATGGGGAAAATGGGGAAAAATCAGAGAAAAATGGGGAAAAATGAGGGGAAAATGGGGAAAAATGAGGGGAAAATGGGAAAAATGAGGGGAAAAATGGAGAAAAATGGGAAAAATGGGGAAAAATGGGGAAAAATGGGAAAAATGAGGGGAAAAATGGGAAAAATGAGAAAAAAATGGGGGAAAATCAGAGAAAAATGGGAAAAATGAGGGGAAAAATGAGAGGAAAAATGAGGGGAAAAATGAGAGGAAAAACGGGGAAACATGGGAAAAATGAGAAAAAAAAGTGGGGGAAAATGATGAAAAATAGGTGAAAAAAATGGGAAAAAAAGAAAATAATGGGGAAAGAAGTAGGGAAAAATGAGGGAAAAAATGACGAAAAATAGGTGAAAAAATGGAGAAAAAAGGAGGGAAAATGGGGAAAAATGAGGAAAAAAGTAGGGAATAATAGGGAAAAATTGGGGGAAAATGAAGAAAAAAATGGGGAAAAATGAGGGAAAAAATGGGGAAAAATGAGGGAAAAAAATGGGGAAAAGTGAGGAAAAAAGTGGGGGAAAATGGGGAAAAATTAGGAAAAATTGGGGAAAATTAAGAAAAAAGTGAAGGAAAAATGAGAGAAAAAGGGGGAAAAATTGGGGAAAAATGAGGAAAATGAGGAAAAAGATGAGAGGAAAAATTGGAAAAAATGAAAGAAAAACAGGGAAAAAATGGGGAAAAATGAGGAAAAAAGTGGGGGAAAATGGGGAAAAAATAGGGAAAAAAATGGGGAAAAATTAAGAAAAATTGGGGAAAAAAGAAGAAAAAAATGAAGGAAAAATGAGGGAAAATTGGGGAAAAACGGGGAAAAAAATGGGGAAAAATGGGGGAAAATGAGGAAAAAAAATGGGGAAAAATGGGGGAAAATGAGGAAAAAAAATGGGGAAAAATGGGGGAAAATGAGGAAAAAAAATGGGGAAAAATGAGGAAAAAACCAGGGAAAAATGGGGTAAAACGGGGAAAAATGGGGAAAAATGGGAAAAACGAGGAAAAAAGGGGGAAAAAGGGAAAAATGAGGGAAAAACTCAGAAAAATGAGGAAAAAATGAGGAAAAAAAAGGGGGGAAAATGACAGAAAATAATGGGGAAAAATGAGGAAAAAATGGGGAAAAATTCTGTAAAATGGGGAAAAATTAGGAGATAATGAGGAAAAAAACAGAAAAAATAAGGAAAAATGAGGAAAAAAGTGGGGAAAAATGGGGAAAAATGAGGAAAAAATGGGGAAGAATGGGGGAAAAACAGGGAAAAAGGAAAAATTGAAGAAAAATGAGGAATAAAATGAGGAAAAATTAGGAAAAAATAGGGAAAAATGAGGAAAAACGAAGAAAAAAAGGGGGAAAAATGAGAAAAAAATGGGGAAAAATGGGGTGAAATGGGGAAAAATGGGGGAAAATGAAGAAAAAATGGGGTTTTGGGTGTGGGAAGAGAACGAGGGAGGGAAAAGGGGGTGGGGAAAAAATTGAGGGGTGGAAAAACGGGGATTTGGGATGGGGAGAAATGGGAGTTTCAAGGGGAAAATTGGATTTTGGGGTGGACATGTTGGATTTTGGGGTGGACATGTTGGATTTTGGGGTGGACATGTTGGATTTTGGGGTGGACATGTTGGATTTTGGGGTGGACATGTTGGATTTTGGGGTGGACATGTTGGATTTTGGGGTGGACATGTTGGATTTTGGGGTGGACATGTTGGATTTTGGGGTGGACATGTTGGATTTTGGGGTGGAAATATTGGATTTTGGGGGGAAATGTTGGATTTTGGGTTGTAAATGTTGGATTTTGGGGGGGAAATGTTGGATTTTGGGGTGGAAATGTTGGATTTTGGGGTGGAAATGTTGGATTTTGGGGTGGAAATGTTGGATTTTGTGGAAATGTTGGATTTTGGGGTGGTAATGTTGGATTTTGGGGTGGAAATGTTGGATTTTGGGGGGAAATGTTGGATTTTGGGGTGGAAATTGAGATTTTAGGGTGGAAAAGGGGGATTGGGGGTCCCCAAACCCACCTTGAAGTCGGGGAACACGGGCATCACCTCCAGGGGGGTGACGCGGGGTTTGCTGTAGTGCTGCGTGATCTGGGGGGAAAAAGGGGGCTCAGGACCCCCCCAGGAGCCCCCTGGACTGCCCAGAACCAGCTCCAAAATACCCCAAACTCACCCCAAAAACACCTGCAATGTCACCCACAACAGCCCTGAAATCACCCCCGAGAAACACCCAAATCCCTCCCCAAATCACCCCAAAAATCACCCAAAAACCGCAAAAAACAGCCCAGAAACGCCTCAAAAGTCCCCAAAATTCCTCAAAATCCTCAAAACTCCTCAAAATCCCCAAAACTGTCCAAAATCCCAAAACCCCTCAAAATCCCCAAACCCCTCAAAAACCCCCGAATCTCCCCAAAACCCCCAAAACTCTCCAAAATCCCAAAAACCCCCAAAATCCCAAAACCCCTCAAAATCCCCAAACCTCTCAAAATTACAGAACTCCTCAAAATCCCAAAAATTCTCAAAACCCCTCAAAATCCTCAAAACCCCCCCAAAAATCCCCCCAAAAATCCCCCAAAAATTCCCCAAAATCCCCCCAAAATTCCCCAAAATCCCCCAAAAATTCCCCAAAACCCCTCAAAATCCCCAAAACCCCTCAAAACCCCCAAAATCCCCCAAAAATCCCCCCAAAAATCCCCCAAAAATTCCCCAAAATCCCCCCAAAAATCCCCCAAAAATCCCCCCAAAATTTCCCAAAAATCCAATAAAACCCCCAAAAAATCCCCAAATCTCCTGGGGCTGCCCCTCCCCCCCAGGCTCTGCTGGGCCCCGCGGATTCCGCGGATTCCGGAACATTCCGGGAGCGGATCTGGGGCAGCGTCCGGGAGCGGCTCCACACAAAGGTGAGCGGGAATTTGGGGAGGGGGTCCCCAAAATCTGGAGGGGTTTGGGGTGGTCTGGGGGGGGCTCAAAATTTGGGGGGAAAATCCCAAAATTTTGGGGG